GAAGAAAAACGCCGGTACTGATGGGTCAGGTGGTTTAAACGACCCGATTTGAGCTTTAGAAAGGATGAGTCAAGTGAGTTGAAATCGGTGGAAGGGAGTAGCAGTAGCAGCAGTTGTGCTGGTGAAGTTTGTGGGGATGATGATGGTGAAGAAGAGGGAACAGAGAAGGGTACGACGGTAAGGAGGTTCGTGAACTTCATTGGAGAGAGGATTTGGAATGTTTGGGGGCAGTGAATTTAGAGGAGAATCCAAGAAAGAGGTGGTTTAGTTCCAGCCTATATTTCTTTCTATAAGGGAAAGAAAAATGAAATTTCTTTAATTAGTTTTGCTTCCTTTTCTGTATATTACGGGCTTTTACAATGTAAAAATGGGTAGTTTAATCTTGAATCAATCATGTTTTTGTTGTTGTTGAAGCAACCTTTTGATAAGAAAGATTTTCTTGTAGCTTAAGCTATAAGTTCAATACATTCACCATGATTGATTTTAGCTTTGTTGTTAAATTATGATCGATGGAAAGCAGGAGTTAGAGATTGACTCCTGAATTTAGTGTTGTTTGTATGTAATGAAGATGCCCTGCAACTGTCAACTCAACAACTCAACAGGCTTACAGTACTTATTTATTAGGAAGGAATATTCATACATTATAAGATTAGCTAGTAATATTGTTCTTATCTACTTTAATCAATCAATTATTTTAGCTACTATTTGTTGAAGACGTTCCTCTTCTTCTTCCCTTAAGCTGCATGTGTGAAATAAACGAGGTCGGCAAAAGTAAGGCTTCGATTAAAGCGAAGGTTCCCCCAAATGATATAAAATATATTCATGTCATGTAAAAGAATGTGCCCCCACGCCATCCCCCCCCCCTCTTTTTTGTGTGTTGTAATAATCAATAACCAATGTTCATCTTATCATATCCGCCTCTTCTTCATCGCTCTAAAGTTTACATTTTTTAAGGCTTAATACATAAATAAGTATAACTTTTAAGGTTTAATACCTAAATAAGTATTCAAATTATATTTTTTTCGAATAGGATCTACAATATTTTTGGACCATTCAGATTTTTAACGTTACAAACATTACCACTTTAGGTGTTCAAGTCGTCAACGACATTAATTTCCTCTGTTAAGTGATACATGTCACAATTTGATAATTTTAAAAAAATTATATAAAAATAAAAATAAAATTATATATTTAAAAAATATATAAATTTTAAATAACTCCAAAATTTTGAAGACCTTCATTTCAATCATTAAACTCACGTCGCCATTTGCCGTCTACTAAGCTCCACTCAACCTCACCTCCCCTAGGAACCAAAATCCTTATGAAATCATGACCGATCGACGGTTGATTGACGACAAATTGATGTTTTATACTACGCGAACCCTATGATGAAAATTGCGATCCCACATGATTCCGACAGTCAATCAACAACAACTATGACGGAAAATAACTAGGATGATGGTAGAGACTACGTCGGCAGCTGTGGTCGTGGCAAAAAAAAACAACATGGACGGATTAGAGTTAAGATTTGTGGATTTTGAGAATTTTGAGGCTTTTTTGTAATTTAAAGAAATTATGACATTTTTATAAAATATAATATTTTTCTTTTTCTTTTTAAAAAATAAATTTTAAAATTATAATATTATAACATGTGTCCCTTAATAAATTTCTAAAATATACTATAGACACCTACGCATTTATTTAGGTATTAAGGTTATTTTTAACATTCCAAATTTGAGGACGGTTAAAGAATCGAAACAACGGTGGATTTGGTGACATCCATCACATTGCTTCTATATTTTATTGATCAAATGGGTGACATCGTTACTTCATATTTCATTACAGGGTAAAGTGTATAAATAGTCCTTGAACTTTTAGGACGTTTGCATTTTGGTCACTCAACTTTTGAAACTTACAATACAATCATCTAACTCTTAGGGTGCTTGCATTTTGATCACCCAACTTTTAATCGTTTGCATTAAGGTCCCTGCTGTAACCATTTGCTTATGTGGCACTTAACTGTTGTTAACACCCATCCCCCTTCTTCTTATTCGTTTTCTTCTTCTTCTCCCATTCACCCCACCTCTGGTCAGCGGTGGGTCACACCGCCATCACCATCGTCGACGTTGCCTCCCTACCCTCGATTCATACTCACCGTCCACCGTTTGTCCCAAATTACGAGAAAATCGTTCGAACACCCATCTCTGATCTCCGTCGTCGATGATTGTCACCGTCGGTAACAATAGGAGTGCTACCCTATCCCGACCAAAACCTCGCTAGCCACTCGTCGAGACTCACCCCCATTCGTCGTGGAGAGGGCCCTGAATTTCATCGAAAAACCCTAAATCCCCTTTTCTATTTTGATCAATTTTTGGCTGATATGGCCGTTTGTTTGCCACACCGCCACCACCACCATTGAAGTCCTCACACTGTTCCGAACGAAACTCAGTCGGTCGTGGCTCCTCGTCATCTTCCCTCCTCTGTAGAGGCGAAGAAGAAGATAGATGAGGAGGATGAGAAGGAGAAGGAGAAGGAGAAGGAGAAGGAGAAGGAGAAGGGGGTTAACGACAGTTAAGTGCCACGTCAGCAAAATCTAACGGGAGAGTATAGTAGGGACCTTATTGAAAATGATTAAAAGTTCAATGGTTGTATTACAAGTTTTAAAAGTAAGGTGAGCAAAATGCAAGTGCCCTAAAAGTTTAGGGACTATTTTTACACTTTACCCTTTATTAAATTTTTGGTTTTATCTTGTCAGTCAAATCATTAATTTGAACTATTCAATTTTGATAACTATTTTAAAAAGTTATCACGATTTGAATATTTGTCCAAATATATATTTTCAGCCATACTGTAGTTTTATCGACAATTTTGGCATAAACTAAGGGATATGAACTCATCGACTAATCAAGTGTCTATGTCACAAGAAAATTCAAACCCTACGGAATTTCAAACCCCAAAAAATATTGAAAATGAGATTATAAATTTAAAAGAAGGAAGCTCCAACCAAATGAATCCAAGTCCAAATTCAAAGAGCTACGATTACATGATAATAAAGTTGGAAATAAGAGGGAGTCGGTCAAATTTCAGAGTTCAAGTTCAACGAAGGGTGTAGGAGATAATTAGCCAGAAAAAGGAAGAGAATATATCTTTGTATTTACTATGAATTTTGAACCTTCTGGCCCCGCTTACTAACCTTGGTACTAATTAGTAGATAGTAAAAGACGATTAAACCAAGAGGAGTGGTGCCTTAGGAAAGCGCATCTCCCGGCTGTGCTAAGGCTATTAAAGAGAAAAGGAAAGAGGACAAATGTCTTAATTCTCGGGGAGGTGACCCCTATGACTATGGACTAACCTGTGCTCCTTTGGACATAATGAAAAAAGAAACTGGATTGGATTTGGTTCAAGACATGTACAATCAGAAAGGTTTCTTTTAGCCCCCGTAATCATTTGGGTAAACGAGCATTGAATTAGTAAAAATTGTGACTTTTAGTCGGGGCCGATTCAACTAACGTAACAAATGTGGTGTTTATAAGGAGACTTGAGCAACACACCAACGTAGTCCACAAACAAGTCTATAGGTTTGAAAGTTAGAAAGTCCACCCAGGACAAGGACCATACGATACTCAAATTCAAAGTCAGCCTGCCCCGTTTGAATGGGAGTCTCTTTCAAAATGAGGTGTGCATCTACAATCATGGATGAATCGAGAAAAAGCGGATTAAATAGTCATTTTTATAAAAAAAAAATTAAATTAATATATATTTTAAACATTTTTTGATATTTTAATTAATAATATTTTTTTTCATTCTTTTTGAAAACTATATAATCTTAAAATTTTATATTCATTAATATAAAATCATGTTTATGCCTCTATCTACAACAAAAAGTTATATGAGATTCATCGGCCGAGGCAGACTCGGGCTGGCGGGCAGATACCCTCATTTTCCTTCAGGTCGATCGGTATCTTTGTTGCTTCGAAACAGTGTTCTACTTTCCTGCTTGTTTTACAAGTGTTATTTAAGAAAATACATGGTTCGAGATTATAGCTATTTTGTTTCTTTTCAATTTACTATATTTTATATAAAAATATGTTTGCAAAATTAATTCAACAAATTATATGTTCATTCTTTAAATAATAAGTTAGATAAATTAATTTACGAATTTCCAATTTTTAGTGCAGCAAATTAACATCGGATTGACTTTTAGAGTAATTAGTTGGCAAAGTCAGACGTGTTTCCTCAATAGGAACTTTATAATCAACCTTTTTTATACGTAAAAACTAGTACACTAATCAATCCCTAACAAAACTCTAAGCTTTGTTATGTCCATTATATTGCACCTAATCTAACTGTGTGGTCCATTCCAGCTGATTAATCATCGTAAATGTTAATATCGGTACTTTTGGTAGCATATCGAAAAATAATAATTTGTCTATTTAAACATAATTATTTCTCCTTTTATAAGTTATTTTTTTCTAAATGGAGGGAAAAATTTTGAAATCGAATTTAATATATTTTTTGAATTAATCACTGATTTTTGATCTATTGACCTACCAATCCAGATCAGGTATTGCAGAGGTGAGGGCGACCCTCCCAACCCAGTTTGCTCCATTCGCAAACACTAGGATTCGAACCCCTGACTTTACTTAAAGGGATGTTCTTGCATACAACCATTGACCTGCTGCCTTAACTTCAATCTATTTACCAGTTTTAACTAGAAAGAGACCAAACAGAATAAAGGGATTGTTTTACATAACTTAACCTCCGCTTGGTTTGAACACATAAAACTTCTACTCTGTTGATTGCTTTATTGTGAATTCATCATACAGAAAAATGGTAAATATTCTTGAAAAATCTCCCCCTCCCTCCTTTTTTCTCCTTAGATGTGTTGTTTTATTGCAACATTGCTCTAATTTTGTAGGACATGTAATACATATTGTGACTGAGATTGAAGCTTGCTCACCTTCATTCATTTGTGGTGCTTAATTTAATATATTTGGTTAATGACTACTGCAGACCACTTTTCTGAATGTGTAGAGAGTCATGCCTTTGAAACCTATGATAAATTTATCAATGCCAAAGGAGGTAAGTTGACAGATCCCTATATACCGTTCATTCATCTTAGATAGCTTGCAGTTTGTATATGTATCATTTGTCACAAGTTTGACAAAAGTTCTAGTTTTAAATTATCCTGCATATGTTAACTGGTCACTGGAAACTAAATGGTGGTAAGGGCATTTTTGAAAAATACTTTGTTGCATTGCATCCATGCATTTCAGTTTTCACTGTTTAACCGACTTTTCCCAATTTTGATTTGATATGTTCTTTTGTTTTCTGTAGATGAGTTGAAAAAAAAGCCTGCTCCCGAGGTTGCTATCAAGTACTATACTGGAGGTGATTTATATTTGTTTGGTGAGTATTTCCTTTTACATTGGATGGTTCAGTCTTTAAAATATCTCATATCGGGGTTCAACAATTCCTCCACATTTTCTGACCAGATGAATTTCAAACTGCTAGAGCTCCCTGTTCACGAAGACCAAAAATAGGTAATGGAATGTATTTTTGTTAATTAGAAATCCATGCTTTAATTAGATCTAGTGTTGTTTATATGAGTGTGAGTACTGCATAAGTCTGTTGTAGTAATCATAAAGACCAATTTTCTGATACAACTTCAATTCTAATCATTGAACTGGCAAGTGCCTGCATGGGGTATGACAATAAACTATAGGAATCTTGTTGCTAAATTGTTGATGCAAACTGACACAAGTGGTTTTTTTCTTATGTCCATACACAGATAATTTGTACGATGTGTTTGTGAACATCAGAGATGATGAAGCTGAACATTGCAAGACAATGAAGGCCTGTCAGACTCACGGAAACCTTCGGTCTCCTCATTCATATGAAGATTGCTTTGAAGACATGCCGGATGGCATGATTCGTGAAGCAGATTGTGAAGGCATTGTAGACTGTATAAAGAAATCTTTTACAACTCAAGTGAAGCAAACCAAGACCGTTGAGTGAACCAGATGCAGTCATGTGAGTCAACACATAGTGACAGATGAGATGTATATAGTCTATAAGAAAATTACATAGTTCCAACATATTGCCTTTGATTCTTAAATGTAAGTTCTGTTTAAAATTTTGGATAGCTTCCCTGCTTAGAAGGAAGGTTTCCTGTTAGACGTGATTGAAGATTTGAAGGCCATTTCGCAATAAAAAGCAATAAGTTGATAGCGATTTTCAGTTCCTGGTTAGTATAACGTGACCTTTTCGATGCGGATTTTCGGTTATTAGAAAGGAGTGCATTTTATACTGATAGCGATTACTCAAACATTTGTAATAATTGCAGGTAATCACTTGTTAACTCTTCAGACAAACCCTACATGTTAAATCTATGTAAAAATGGAGTTTCACCCCTCGTAACTGCCCCCGCAGTTAATCATCCCTACTAATTAAGGATTTGCTTAAATTACATGTTTGAACCCAAATCACACTAATTAAGTGGATCCTACCTTCTTCCCGACATAACAAGAAACCGTGCGAATAAACACAAGTAGCAACTTGAAATTTGATTTACTATGGGCATGTTAATCCGTTTCGAGACATAATATTTTACATGTTTGAGTTTTTTTGTCAATAGGCCTATGAACCATTTTATTTTTATTTTTGAATAAAGATGAGGCAAAACTAGTGTTCTCCAAGCTGAACTTTGGGGCGTATTTGAAGGACTCCGTTTTGCATGGCAGCAGGGCTATGAGCGTGTTCATGTTCAGATTGACAACGCTGAGGTTTTCCGTCTTCTCACAGACCTCTCTCGCATGAGTCCTCATACTCTAGTTCGAGTTATCTCTACCCTGCTGGCAAGAGCCTGGTGTGTTGATTTCTCCCTTATTCGTCGTGAAGCGAACAGGCTGGCAGACTTCATGGCGAAACTCGATACTCATCCACGGTTCCCTCACGGTGTTCTTTGTTCCCCCAGTCTTCCTTCATAGCCTATTATATAGAGATATTTCAACTCCTCCTTATGCCCGTCTAAAAAGGGTCTAATGTAATGAACCATTTTATTTGATCCTGGTTAATAATGATGTTCTGCATCTATCACAAGGGGCAGAGAAACAAGTAATGAAGTCCAAGGAAAAAAGTAGGATGAACTATTGCAGAGGCAAGTTGGTAACTATTACATGTTTATATGAACTTTGATTCCCTTAATCTCACATGCTCATTAGCAGATAAGGGTCGAGTTATTTCTAAAATATTGCTGCCCCTTTCCTTTTGGCTTTCAGATTGAATATCCAAATTTCCAATATCAAGTTTTTAGCACAGCTAGAGAGCGAGGAAAGACAGTAATTTTGGCCAACTGTGGTCCAAGGTTTAATAGGTATTACATTAGTTAGTCGTGCCACTTCTGGTTCTAAAAGGATGATAAAGAAATTTATTAGTATTATATACACTAACACAGGTTTCAAGCAGACCGTTAAGAGTCAAATCAAACTGAAGCATTTAAATAACATGTAAACCAGGGTCGTAAAGGTGTCCCTTTCCAATTATAAGAGCAGGAAATTATTTATAATTAAGTCGAGAAGGCAGGAAGAAGGGATTCATGATTATAGCTTGCGATTAAAAAGTTGTTTCCTTTTATTATTATTAAAAGATTACGTTATTTTATTATGGTGTTGCTGAGAATTTTCCTGGCATCGGGTTTAGTGGATTGGGTGAGCTTTCCACTTGAATGAGATTGGAGTTTGGATATTAGGAGCTCTAACCTTGATTAGCACACCTCTGGATTGTGATCAAAGGAACATTAACATGCATTGGCTGACAGAAAGTTGATAGAAATCATTATTTATTCCCCGGCCAAAGTGGAGGTATGATTTGTGTGCTTTTCGTTTACACCAGTTGCTCATCAAAGGCTTTTCGTTTGGCAATGGTCAACTCTTGGCTTTCTTTTTCATATTTCTTTCTTCAAATCCCCACCTTCCCAAAACGGGGTTGTTTAGCAAGTGCTGCAAAATTTTACAGAACCAATGTTTGCCTGTTTGGTTTTGCTCCCAGAAGATGATAATTTATGGTGTTCGGATATATACTTGTACTCTATATTTAAATTCGATTTCGAATAACATAAATTGTTGTATCAAAAGAAAAATGAAACGAGTTATTAAGCCCTAATGAAGCCAAGATAGAATCTTAATGATAAATTTCGTAACAGATATAATTTGGTCACTTCTACAACTCGAAACATCTGATTTAAAGCACAACCACTAGCAACCAGACATGATACATAACAGGGGAATTCTTAGCCCAAGCATTGTCAGTTTATTTAAACTAGTAAGATCCACACCTGATAGCACTCACTAAACTTATTACAGAAACACACTGCTAAGTTAAAACCCATTTCTCTTTCAGCCACTAAAGGACTCAAACAGATGCAATAGGACCCAAGTTAACCGTGGAGTCCATGGCCTTCATGGCTTCGAACCTTGGCTCCTTTGCTTGGAACTTCAGGCCTGCGTAGAGCTTCATGTAGTCCTCGAACACAAATTTGGGGTACACTTCAGATTTGTCCGCTTCTTTCTCCAGCAAAGCCGGTGCTGGATATATAACAGCGTCGCTGCCCGGGTTGTAGAAGGAAGCGATCGACATTCTGGTGCCGTCTGTTTGAGCAATCACACGGTGCATCACACTCTTATATTTACCATTGCTGATTACCTGGTTCAAGCGCATAAAATAGTCATCGAATATGTCAAGGAATCGGCCTTAAAATAAGTAGTCCCCACTCCCCAGCTTGGAATAATTTATGTTTTCCACTTGCATAGGCTTTGTGAATGGAGATATTAATCAATTATATATATTTTTATTACCGAATCCAAATCACTTGAAACTTGGTGTAAAATAATAAAGGCCAGTGCTCAGTTGGTATACCTCAAGTTGGTCACCAAGGTTGACGACAATGGAGTGTTTCATCGGAGGAACATCGATCCATTGTTCGTCCTTGAGAAGCTGAAGGCCGCTGACCTTGTCATCTTGGAACAGTAAGATGATTCCACCAGCATCAGTGTGAGCCCTGAGTCCCTTGATCAGGTCTGGTTTGGGGCATGGAGGGTAGTTGCTGACTTTGGTTCCAAAGGTTGGCCCTTTAGACCCATAAAACACCTTTTTCAGGTAACCGGGTTCCAACCCCAGATTCTCACACAACAAGTCTAGTAGTTGCTCTGCAAGCTTCTCCAACTCCACTGCGAATTCCTTCATCACCTTTCTGTTGTTAAGAAAAAGTGAACCATGTCAGTTAAAACATAAAGCCGAAAACACATCATTGCCACCGTATAAGAAAAACAAAATGAACCCAGACCTGTAATCTTCTTCAAGATCAGGAATTTCAGATATATTCGATTCAGGCAAGTGGCGCAAGAAGAAGGTGCTTTCCCAGTCCATGTCATTGATCTCAGATTGAACGGCCTCAAGACCCTTACTGGCAACCATTTCTTTGAACCTCTGCTCCATGCACTTTTTGTAGTGCTCCTTTGTCAGCCTCTCCACAGTGTCCATCAGCTCATGAGATATTCCATGGTTCATCAGCTTTTAAAGAAAAAGTTGGGGGGGGAGGACGGGGGGTACAACAAAGGATTAGAAGCCTTATTATAACGAATGAACCAAGTTGTAAACTATAGATATGGTTGATTTAGTGTAATGAACACATTTAAGAGGTTTTAGTACCTCAAAGAAACCCCAATTCTCACAGGCGTCTTTGATCATTTCCATGGCGGTTGCTCGCTCCTCACCATTGAGTTTGGAGAAGTCGATGACGGGGAAAGTGAGCTCCATTGTTTATCCCGGGATCTTACTAAGCTTCTCCAGTAATGTGTTGCTGTGTTAGTTTCAAGGCGTAAGTGACATGGGAGCCTGGGGAAGTGCAATTTATAGGCAAAGAACAAGGGCAAAACAGATGAAATGATAAAAAAAAAAGAGACGAAAATGGAAATGTGTAGCGAAAAATTAAATTTTGATTTGTAAATAATTTTCGTTGAAACAAAATAATAACTGTCATTGTCAAAGCAAACAGTTTTTCATTCATCTTTGGAATTAATAATTCAAATATTCTTTCAACCCTCCACATGTTATATCATGGTAATCACCTATAGAATATAAGGAATTAATGATATGTATATTAGAATTGTTCATTTTAAAAGGGTAACGTGTACAAATAGTTCCTCGACTATAAGATGTTTTTTTTGTCAATTCTCTCTATTATTAAAAGTCACAAAATGGTATTTGATTATAGGCTGTTACTTTGTTGAGTCTCCCGACTATTAAAAGTTATAAAATAACTACCTACTATTTAGTATGTTCCAAACTCATCATTTTTCGTTAAAAAATTGACGGCAGTTTGAGTTGGATGTTGACTTGATGATTGAGATATAATAAAATTTGATTATAGAATCTAAAAAAAACCATCATATCTTAGTCAACAGGTTAATATTCAACTTATACTGTTGTAAATTTTTAACGAAAAATGACGAGTTTGAAACATACTAAATAACCAGGTGATCATTTTGTAACTTTTAATAGTTGGAGGACTCAACAGAGCAAAATACTATAGTCAAATGACTATTTTATAATTTTTAATAGTCGAGAGACTTAACAAAACATCACCCTATTGTCAAGGGACCACTTGTATACTTTACCCATTTTAAAAGTAAGAGAAAATAATTAAAAATTTTAACAAGGATTAAGATATAAAAAAATCATGAGCTAATTGAGTAGTATTAATGGTTAAAGGTAATACTGTTTTTCTTTAAGGTCATAAATTGAAATAATTGCGTATATAAAAGATATATATACATTGCCAATAAATAAATAAAAATCTTAAACAAATATTACATTACAATCAATTTAATATATTAAAAAAAACAAAATCACATGTGACAAGAATCTATGGTAAAGGTTGGTCGCTCGCCCATCTGCAAAAGAGGGGTGGCGTAATTAGAGATGGGCTTGAGTTGGATTTTGGTCGATCTGATTTGATAAAAAAAAATTATATCATTTACTCGATTCGATTCGGCTTGAAAAATATATACTCTCCACCCGAATTCGAGTTGACTTTTTGAGATAAAATCCGAACTCGATCCAACTCAAAATAATAAAAATATTATTTTTATTCAATAAAACAGCGATTTAATTAAAAATAATAATATAGAGAGAGATAATATTGTGATTA